CTCACCCTCACCCTCACCCTCACCCTCACCCTCTCTTTCGTCTAGGTGAGGGCCTGCATCATCTGTGTGCATCCTCGGACCAGAGCTGTGCGCCTGAGCCTGCGCTCCATCTTCCTGCAGCCCGGGCGCCCACTCACGCGGCTCTCTTGCCAGCACGTGGGAGCTGTGCTGCAAGATGTCCCTGTGCAGGGCTTTTTCAACAAGGCAGGGGCTACCTTCAGGCTGAAGGACGGGGCCCTGGCCTATGCTCGGGTATGGCATCTTTGGTTTGGGCAAGGGTCTCACCAGAATGATTTTGGGGTACATCTTACCTTGCTGTTTCTTTTCTGCTTCCTTCATCTTTTGATACTAGTTCCTTATTATTAGATATCTTCATCAGTGAAAGACTGTTGGTAGGGTTTAGAACAGTATCTGTTATACTGGACTGCATCAGAACCAGCTTGCCATATTTGATACCTGGCTAATGATACCTTTAAGAATCTAGCTGGGTGTGGTGGCACACGCCTGTAATCACAGCACTTAGGAGGCTGAGGCAGGAGAATCACCAAGAGTTCAAGGCCAGTCTGGGCTACACAGTGAGTTCAAGACCAGCTGAGCTGTATAACAAAACCCTACCTCATAAAACAAAAATAAAGAAAATGAATTAGGATCTAGACCGGGGCTCAGCAATTTGTTTATTAAAATGTCAGGTAATGAATACTTTAGACCAGTAGGCCCTGTGGTCTTTGTCCCGGATACTCAATTGTAGCATGAAAACAGCCACAGACAGTATGTAAACGAATGGACATGGCTCTGTTCCAGTAGAACTCTTGTTCATAACTGGCTTATGAGTGCAGTTGACTAATCAGGATCTAGACTCTTCTCTGATCCTAATAAAAGTCCATGATAGTGAAGAGTGAGGAAGAATTTCCAGAGGCCAGGTGTGGTGGCACACACCTGTAATCCCAACACTTAGGAACCCAAGGCAGGAGGATTGCCGGAAGTTTGAGGCCAGCCTGGGCTACATAGGGAGACCCTGTCTCAAAAAAACAAAAAAAAAGTGGATCAAAGTGCTGTTTTTATGGTGGGTGATAACTGTGTTGAGTCATGTCAGTTCGCTTTGAAGTCTGCTTGGCTCAGACCTGTTGTCTCTGGCTGATGCTCAGTCACTTGCTGTTTTGCAGCTCAGCCATCTCTCCGATTCAAAGAATCTCAAACCTGAGGCTTTCAAGCCAGGGAACACTCACAAGTGCAGAATTATTGACTACAGCCAGATGGATGAGCTGGCTTTGCTCTCCCTGCGGACGTAAGTCTTCCTGACCCACGTGGGGGTGTGGCGTGTGCTCCTGGACCTGTGCCCTCTTTCTCCTGGCCTGGCCGGATGAGGGTGTCGTTTCTGACAGCATGAGTGTGGTAGTCCTGAATTTATAGTTCTGGTTCTGGTTTATTAATCTTGCCTTGTCTTTTGTTTTTGTTGTAGGTCTGTTATTGAAGCTCAGTACCTTAGATATCATGATATCAGAATTGGAGCAGTGATCAAAGTAAGACTGAAAACATACACCTAGCTACTCCTCCAGCTTTATGCCTTCTGTAGCTCACAGGTTACCGTTCAGCTCATTAGGCCCCTGCTAACACACTAACGTCGTGTTCCTTGCCTCTGCCTGCTAACTAAAATTTCTTCCTGTTCCCTTACGTAACTTGTAATTTATAGACAAGTTCTTACCTATTACCACCAAACTGCCCAGAGGCAGTAGGTCTTACACCCTGGAATTTGGGTTTGGTAGTAATTATTGGGATAATAACCACAAAGCAGCATGTACTGTGATAATTGAGCTCCCCAGGATGTTAGGGAGGCGACAGTTTGAGTTGTCTCTCCTCCAGCTGTGGGGTGCTCATGGAGCAGTCTGCCTTTCTAGGTAGAGCTCATTGCTTAGGAGACACGGTTCTCTCCTTTAGGGACTGTTCTTGGAAGATAATACACATTCAGCCAAAGGGATGTAAAAGAGCCAGATGTGGTGGATCTCACCTGTATTCTCAGCCCTCTGGGAGGCTTAGGCAGGATGATCACAAGTTCAAGCCCAGTAGCTTAGCAAGACTGTATCAAAAAAAACCAAAAGGCTGGTGATACAGCTCAGTGTGAAGGCCTTGAGTTCAGTCCCTAGTTCTTCATAAACAGAAAGATGTGAAGACTTCTTTCAAGCTAGGTTCTATGTGGATGCAAGATCTGGAATAATAGGTATAGCCTCCGGCCATACCACCCTGGACGCGCCCGATCTCCTCTGGAATAGTGGGTGTAGTTAGCTGAGGAGGGTGGGCTTGAAAGAGGTATGACACGCTCTGGCTGAGAGGGAGAAAGGCCGCTCTGGAACTTCCTGGCACCTTTCCTTTGCTCTTCTAGGGCACAGTGCTGACCATAAAGCCGTTCGGGCTGCTGGTGAAGGTGGGCGAGCAGATGAGGGGCCTGGTACCTGCCGTGCACCTGGCTGACATCCTCATGAAGAGTCCAGAGAAGAAGTACCACATCGGGGACGAGGTCAAGTGCCGGGTAAGCCCCTGAAGGGCTTCCGTTGGGGTTTTGGGGGGACAGAAAGAGCAATTCTGTGTTTTCCATAAAGCATGTGGTGTGTGTGGTGCGTCCATGGCTTGTGCCTGGCATAGAGAGAAGTAAGTCCCTGTCCTTGAGAATCATATAATATCATTGGGGGATAAAATACCCACCCAGTGGCCAGAGATAGCTCAGTGGCACAGCGCCTGCCTGGCATGTATGAGGTCCTGAGTTCGATTCCTGGTACCAAAAAAAAAAACAAAAAACAAAAAACAACACCACCAGAAAGAGAGAACAAGCCAGTGTATGACCTTTTGCCCATAGGGTTTGATACATGGTATAGGTTGACTAAATCTGATTATTGAAATGGGAGTATGTCTTTCTCTTATTGCTGAGATAAAAATACCTGACACCCAAAGTTAAAGAGGGAAAGGTTTATTTAGCTCATAGTTTGTGGAGGTTTCCGTCTGTAATCAGCTGGCTCCAAGGCAGAGTTGCACACGGCAGAGGGCAGCAGTGCATGGTGGTGGAAGACAGCAAAAGCAACAAGAGGGGGAGACAAGACTCCTTCTGTCCCTTACATTGTGTGCAGGCTGCCCATCCAAGTGCGGGTGTAGCGCTCAGCCTCAGTCCTAGCCAGAACTATGCCAAACCAGTCAGTAGACTGATCTGCTAGTCACACACCCTTAATCTCAGCATCACACACTCAGGATTCAGCTAACTCTGAAAAAGCCCTGTGACCGCAGGAGGCTTTGAGGCGACGTGTAGACCTGAGCCATAACAGAGGGAGAGGGAGGTTGGGCCGGAGCAGCAGAATCATGGGTGTTGCCAGTAGCATCTCGCAGGCTTTGGATGCTCCGTGCCACTTGCTGTGATGGGGCCTTGACATGCGGTATTCATTAAACCCTCAAAGCGCCCCGAAGTACGTGCACTGTCCTCACGTTGCAGGTGGCGCGGTTGGCGCTTAGGAAAGCTCAGTGCCTTGCCTGCAGTCACATGGCTGATCGGTGGCTCCACGCGCCACCAGTGCCTTCTGGAGTTTGGCAGAGATGAGACCTGAGCTGGAGAGGATAGGTAGGACTTAACAGGGAGAGAGCAGGGAGCGTGTTGCAGGCACAGAAATGCCCCACACCGTGCTGTGAAACTGGGAGTGCTTTCTAACAAGGCTTGAGTCTTGGGAAGTGTCATAGGTTGTGAAAATTAAACACGATGCTGCCCTGCACGCTGTGCATGGGCCTGGTGGGTGCAGTACTCTGTGTAGCTTTTCTGATTGTGTGGTTATTTTGGCACTGGGATTTGAACCCAGAGCTTTATACATGCTAAACACACATTGTACCACTGAACTACACTCCCAGGTCTAGATTTTCTTCTGTTTGTTTTATTTTGTCGTTATTAACAAGGATGCTTGCTGCTTGTTGTTATCTATTTTTATATAGTGAAGTCATGGGATAAAAATAGAGGTGTTTCTCTGCCTTCAGGGAGATGATCTGAGAGGTAAAATGTGATTGGATTGCTCAGTCTTAGTTTAGAGCGAGTGACACCCCTGAAGTGGTGAGCTGGTCGTCCCATTCATCCTGGTAGACTGCATGGACAGCTGCTAGGCCGGAGCCGAGGGCTGTAGAAGTTAGTATCCTCTGAGACTCTGCGGGTGCTGTACAGAAGATGTGAGTGCCGCTGCCTGGTCAGAAGGGTGCTGTGGAGCAGCTTGTGGGAGGACATATATTCAGAATGGAGAGTAGTGATGTGCCTTAGGTGGTCCTCGTCTGCGAAGCAAGGGCACGGTCTGCGGGTAAGGTCATTAGGTGATGAGATTCAGGCTCTTGGGAAATGACCCATGGTCTTTGGGTTCACGGGGTGGACCGGCTCCGTGGCTCAGTGGCTTTCTTGATAATGAAGAGGAAAATAGAGAGTTAGCTTTTTATAGTTAAAATTTCTGCAACTAGCTACTCCCCTGAGCAGATTTGTCTTCATGTCTTCCACCAATACCCGGTTCATGTTTCCCTTATCTAATCTTACCTAACCGAAGATACCCTGAACTCATCTGTTATCTCAAGCACTTGCTTCCCGCAACTCTGCGCTTGCCCCACCCTGAACTTGTGTGCTTCCCATAGCTCCCAGCTTGCCTGGAGCTCGAACTTACATACTTGCAACATGCACGATGTAGTTTGCTCTTAGGCCAGTTGGTAATAATGACATAAGATGTAACCAGTTAATAACCTCCAAATATTCTGCTTCTATACTTCCTGCTTGCAAACCCCGTATAAGCCCTAGACTATCAGAGATTGAGGCCTGACACTTTGGGGATTGATTTCCGGTCAGGACCGTTGATGTTAAATAAATCTGCCTCCAAATCCTGAGTGATGCTTTGGTGTTTCTGTTTGCCGCTGCAATAACAGGTAGTTTGTTGATGGCAGCTGTCTTCCTTCCCAGGTTTTATTTTGTGATCCTGAAGCTAAGAAGCTGATAATGACCCTGAAGAAAACACTGGTCACATCCAAGCTGCCTGTCATTACCTGCTATGAAGATGCCAAGCCTGGTCTGCAGACACATGGCACCATCGTCAGGGTCAAGGACTACGGCTGCATTGTGAAATTTTACAACGACGTGCAGGGACTAGTGCCCAAACACGAGCTTAGTGCCCAGTATATCCCTGACCCGGAGAAGGTCTTCTACACTGGCCAGGTAACCCTCTCACCGGACAAGCCTCCCCCTTGGCAGCCCAACGAGCACAGGCTTGCAGGAGTGGTACCGGGGGGCTGCCTTGCTGAAGAGAATGAGGGATCTAGCACAGATGTGCCTGCTGCCCAGTGATGCAGCGGGCCTCTACTGGGGAAATGGAGGAAGTCAGAGAGAACAGAAAAGCCCTTGCTGGCAGGCTAGTGGACATAGGCGCACAGCCTAAAAGAGATCGTCATTAGCTCCAGTGCACCTGCTGCCTCATATCAGAAATTGTCCTGAGACCACCGTTGTTCGGTACTGCCCCAAACATGTGAATTTGTCCATCTAGGGCAAATAATCCTTAAAAATTTTCTTTTTGCACATGTTTGTAGAAAATACCTATCACACTCATTGTGGTGAGCTGCTGCATGTACATAACACGTCTTCATTCTTTTACACCCACTTCTCTCCTTCCTCTAAAAACTAATTTTTTGTGTATGTAGTACTGGCACTCGAACTCGGGATCTTGCGCTTACCAGGCAGGTGCTGTGCCACTGAGCCATATCCGTGGCCCGAAACTAATTTTTTAAAACTTGGCATCATACCATAAAAATTATCCACATCTTCCTTTTCTTCCGAAGGCTGGCTGGGGGGATTCTGTGCAGTGTCTGCACTTGTCTCTGTTGGCGCCTGTGCTGATGTGAGGTCTTGGAACCTCTGTCCAGGCCCCTGTGGCGCTGGTGAGTCACCGTTTCCAGGGCCTGTGAGGCTGCTGCTGGCAGAGGTGGCCACACTGCTGTGGTTTCTTGGCAGGTGGTGAAGGTTGCCGTACTGAACTGTGAGCCGTCCAAGGAAAGGATGCTCTTATCTTTCAAGCTGCTGAGTGATCAAGAGCCAAAGAATGAGAGTGTGGGACACAGTCAGAAGAATGAAAAAGTCATCAGTGTTGGGCAGGTACCTGGACTCCGCCAGACAAGTTGTCCTACCTTATAGTGACAGAGCAGGCTGCCACCGACATGCAGAGTGGAGTCCTGGAGCACATGGAGGGGGAAAAGTAGAGGTAGCTTCATCAGACTTGGGGGCTAGCGGGGGCCTGAGGCAGGACCTCACATATATTCTCTCCGGTGCGTTAGAGTCGTGAAAGGAGAGTTCTGTGATGCTGTGGGTTTTTAGCACAGTGCTGCTGCCTTCTCTGGTGGCTTGGCCAGCCTGCAATTCCGTCTTTGCTCTGGGGCCCAGCGGAGGTGCCCACCAATGGCTAGGAACCCACCAATGAGTCCCGGTGAGGGTTGTTGGGGGCCAGGGCAAGCTGCCTCTCAAGGACCCTGCTATGGGGTTTGTTGCTCTGGAGTTCCCTGTTGCGGGCTAAATTGCTGCCTGTGCGAGAACAAGTGTTTGTCTCTGTGTGTCCTGAGCAGTTGGTGGATGTGAAGATTTTAGAGAAGACCAAAGGTGGGCTGCAGGTGGCCGTCCTGCCCCACAGCGTCCCTGCTTTCCTCCCGACACCTCACCTGTCGGACCACGTCGCCAATGGCCCGCTGTTGTACCGCTGGCTCCAGGCAGGCGACACACTTCACCGGGTGCTGTGTCTGAGCCAGAATGAGAGACAGGTTGTATCCTTGATCGGCATCTGTGGAGCAGGGAAGGCAGGAGGCCGTGGGCCTTGGCGGGGAATTCTGTGCCAAACTCTGCTTTCAGTTGGAAATAGCACGGGCAGGAAGTTAGCCATCTGACTTCAGAAATTCCTCCATCCAAGCAAGCCAGTGACCAGGCCTGAGCGTGGGAAGGAGGAGCAGGCTGCAAGGAAGGCAGCAGTGGAGGGCGGCGTTCAGGGTGGACAGCCAGGGGGGTAATGGGGGAGCGTGGGATCCGGAGCCAGAGTGGTACCCGGTGGGGTGGGCAGGGCAGTGTCCAGCTGGAAGCATTCAGCGTATGGCCCCCACAGTGGGACAGTTGATGGGTAGCTGCTGTCCTTCTTTCCCGGCTTTTGTTCAGAAGACTGTGCGGTGGGGTTTCTGTGCTGCTTCTCCCTGCCCCACTTGGGTGGGGGTGGGGCTCCGACGTACTCCCGTTGGTATTTGTGTGCACGCCTTGAAGGAGGACACTACTCAAGGAATGTGAAATGCGATCTCCATACCGTGGCAGAGGAGGTAAAATCGGGTGCTCTGGTGCACATGTGGGATGGCAGAGGGTTGTGCAGTGGTCGGCCCCGCCGCGGAACCATGGGCAAGCCTTCCCCTGTGGGTCCCTCCAGCGACAGGGAGCTGTGTCATGCATTCATCAGGAAAGGCCACACAGTGGCTGTCAGGTGGTAGTGGGTGTCAGGAGCCCTCGGAGTCTTGCTGAAACTAGCACCCAGGGCCCACCCAGAGGTGCCATTTCAGCAGGCCAACTTGGTTTGTCCTGGAGAAGTTGGCTTCTCCCGAGCTCTGGATGATGTGGTGCTAGCCACACACAGACTCAGGATAGGAGCAGAGGGTGGAAGTGGGGAGGTGGACATTTCATCTGTCCTTTCCGGAACATTCCTTGATGAAGTGCCATTAGCTACTCTGCAGGAAGCCAGCTCTGGTCTCCACAGTAGAAGGCGGCCAGGATCCCAAGAACTTCTCAGAGATTCAGCCTGGAATGCTGCTCCTGGGTTTTGTGAAGAGCATCAAGGACTACGGCGTGTTCGTCCAGTTCCCCTCGGGTCTGAGTGGGCTGGCCCCCAAGGCGGTAAGTGCTGTCCGTGCACAAGGTTGCACAAGGTCGTTCGGGCTCCTGGAAGCTGAGGGGTGGAAGGAGTGCTTTAACCCTGTGAGGGTCAGGTTTGCGTGGCTGGGAGCGGGGAGGTGAACCTGAGTGCAGGCTCGCTTCTCCTGCCTGCTGTGGGAGGGCTCACATGCTCTTCACATGGCCGCTGAGGAGGTGGTGGGCAGTCAGTCTCCCGTGTTATACTCAGCGTGTCCCGGCTGGGAAGTAGATTTCCCTGAGCAGCCCAGTTTTAGGTTTTGCAGTCTTTTGGGGTTCAAGGCCCCAGAATATCCTTGAAATTAGTATTCCTCCGCCGTGTCTTTGAGTTGTAAACATTTCAGATGCGAAGGGGCCCCAGCAGCCCTGTAGTTGGAGCCCCCTCGTGCTAAGCAGAGACCTCGCTGGAGACCTGGGCCGGAGTCGGAGGAGGCCAGCACTGAGTGCATGCCACAGCACTCATTCCTGCTGCAGAGCATTCTAAGTGTGCTTCCCTCCATCGGCCGGGCTCCCTGCGTCTTGCCGGGGAAGTCTTGTTGCATCTCCTGCTTGGGCAACTTGAAAGGGGAGTGAGGGGGAGAACCCCAGGAACACGCAGAGAGGGGCAGAGGGACAGCTTGCTGGTGTCCTCAAACGTGAGGCTGGGCAGCCAGGACCCCGCCTGTGTTTCTCTGGAAGGGGTGGAGCTCTGCTTGGTGAGGGCAAGGGTCTTCCTGGCTGGGTTTGGTCTCTAATGCTGTCTGCAGCCCCCTTCTGGGCACTGAGATAACGGAGCAGGTTATCTCAGTGCTCTGCCTCCCCTCTCCCCATCTTTTCCCTCTTCAGATCATGAGTGACAAGTTTGTGACAAACCCAAGTGACCACTTCGTTGAGGGGCAGACAGTGGTGGCGAAGGTGACCAAGGTGGACGAGGAGAAGCAGCGGATGCTGCTGTCGCTGCGGCTTTCAGACTGCAGGCTGGGAACCTCCAGCAGCGCCAGCCTGCTCCTGCTGAGCCAGTGCCTGGAGGAGCTGCAGGGTGTGCGCAGCCTCATGAGCAGCCGAGGTAGGGGCTGGGATGGGGTGGGCAGGACCACCTCTGTTGTAACCATCCTGTTGTTAGGATGAGTCGGGCTTTCGATGGCATTTTTTATTTTTTTATTTTTTATTTTTTGGGTTTTTTTCTTTCAAGTACCAGGAATTGAACTCACGACCTCGTGCTTACCAGGCAGGCGCTGTGCCGCTGAGCTAACTCCCCAGCCCCTCGATGGCGTTTTTTAAATGGCAGCATTTTGTATGTGTGTCTGTGAGGCAGACAGGAGGTCTTGCTTTGTTGTCCAAGCTGATCGTGAGTTCCTGGCTCAGGTGGCCCTTCTATCTCAGCCTCCCCAGAAGCTAGGACTATAGGTGCACACTGTCACACTTGGTTTGGTGAAGTGTTTTTGTATATGGTACTGGGAGTTGAATCCAGGGCCTTTGCACTGAGCTGTCTCCTACCCTTTTGTTTTTTAATTTTGAGATGCATCTCTTAAGTTTTCCAGGCTGGGATCAAACTTGCAACCCTCCTGCCTTATCTCCCAGAGTGTAGTAATCACCACTGTGTCTGGCATCACATGCTTATTTTTTAGTGTAAGTGTGATCTGCATGAACAAATCATTAAATAGCAGCCAGGTAATAGTTTATAAAATGAAAACCTACTTACCACCCAAAGAGGACAGGTCATAAACATCTCATAGGGCCACCTTGTCCCACCTGCCAGTCCAGAAGCAAATTTCCCTTAGTTCTCTCTGTAGCCTTAGGTTTGTTTGTGTTTTAGATTCACTCACCTTTTCATTCCTTTTTTCAGCAAATAAGTAGTGGGTGATAAAATACTTGAGTGTATGAAGAGTTATTATCCTGTCACCCTTAGACTTAGAGCCTTTTTATAAGATTGTTGGGACCTTAATGGCATTTTTGAATATGAGGCCTGAGAGAGTAGAAAGCCAATCTAGAAACAAAAGCAAAACTTATGTTCCTGATATTTGTTTTCTTTGTTTTATTTTCCTTTGTTTCATTTTGAGACAGGATCTTGCTATGTAGTTCAGGCTGGCCTTAAATTCACTATATAACCCAGGCTGGCCTGGAACTTGCAGCAATCCTCCTGCTTCAGCCTACTGAGTGCTGAGATTACAAACGTGTGCCACCGCAGTGGGTGTGTTCCTGGTATTTGTTGGCTAGTTTCATAAACTATGGCAGGGTAGGATTAGCAAGGGGCACAGGTCTCCCTGCCTATACAGGCGGCTGAGGCAGGAGGATCAAAAGTCTGAGCCAACCTGGGCTACCCCGAGAGAACCTGTCTCAAAACTTTCCAGGGAATGGGACAGTCTTACCAAAAGTGTGAGCTTGTCAGTGGCGTGGCAGCAGCGTGTTTCCACAGGCAGTGCCCCGTGAGTGCTGTTCCACCTCCCCATCCGTGCTTCTCTCGGGTCTTTGGCAGACTCTGTGCTGATCCAGACACTGGCCGAGATGACCCCGGGGACAGTCCTGGACCTGGCGGTGCAGGAAGTGTTGGAAGATGGCTCTGTGGCTTTCAGTGGCAGTGCAGTGCCCGACCTGGTCCTGAGAGCCAGCAGGTACCATCGCGCAGGTGGGTGCTTGCGTCCTGCTCATCAGTCCTGCTTTGCTAGGGAGGCGCTGCCCCCCATCCCTCTGCTGCATATGGGACGAGCAGGTGCACAGACCCAGGCGAGCTCTGGCCGCCTGTCGTGGGTGACTGCAAACCAAGACAACTGACAGCATGCTAGCGAAGGTTTAGTGACGAATCCTTCGTTATAATTCATAGGTCAGGTTGTATAAATTAAGTCCCACTCGAACCTTGGTTTCACCAGCCATGGCTGGGCAGTTCTTTGTGTTTTGGGGTCTGTGGGATCCAGAAAGCACTGTGCTGTCTGCCTCACCCTGTCGCACGAGAGCGACCCGTGTGTCTGGTTCTGCACTGCAGGGCAGGATGTGGAGTCTGGGCAGAAAAAGAAGGCTGTCATCCTCAGTGTTGACATGTTGAAACTGGAGGTGCACGTTTCCCTTCGCAAGGAGTTACTGAATAGAAAAGCTCGAAAGGTAAGCTTGCTTGTGCCTTGAATGTTTCTGTAATTTCACACCTCACCTTCCGCGCTACCCTACGGCTCGGGTCCTGCCCCAGGAGCCTGTGAATGGGGAGAGTGCCTGGATCCGTGTGTGACTTTCCTTCTTGCACGTCTTGGCCTGGGATAGTCACTGGTTCAGGAGGGACATTAGGTGCTCGCCCTTCTAGGAGCGCAGCTGTGCGGGTTAGGGTGTGGCAGGCTGGACTCTGACACACTGTGGAAGGAGGAGTGCTGGCCCCCAGGGAGGATGCAGAGACTGCCTCCATCTGGTTGTTTCTCGCTAGCTCTTTGATGTTTAAGAGAAATTGTTTTTTATTTGAAATATACGTAGAAAATGTAAGAAACTAATTTAATTTTTAAAATCTACCCTGTAAATCAAACAGAACAAGTGGGTTTTGACCAGCAGGTTGCACACCCACACCTCCCTGCCATACATTTTGGGGTGACCTGAGTGAGTTTTGGGGGAAATCCAAGAATTAGTATTTTTCATCTCGTATGGTGATGCTTACCTGAAATCCCATCATTTGGGAGGCAGAGGCAGGAGGATCCCCCACCGTGAGCTCAAGGCTAACCCGGGCTACATAGTGTGTAAAGGCTAACCTGAACTACAACAGTAAGAGCCTGTATGAGAGTGGAAAAACAGCATTTTTCTCTGGTGGTAAATGTGCAGGTTGAGTTAGTCAGTCTCTGTCTTGTTCGTTTGTTTTGAGACAGGGTCTTGTTACGTGACCTAGGCTGGCTTTAAGCTTATAATCCTCCTGCCTCAGCTTGCCGAGTCCTGGGATTATAGGCACAGGGTACCACATGCAACTTTTAGTTTTTTATTCTCCATGCTTGACCAGGAATGTTGCAGATTTTGGTGTTTTTCATATTTTGAAATATTTGGGTTGGTTTTACTGACTTACATCCCTAATCCAAAAAATCCAAAATCTGAGATGCTTCAAAACCAGAGACTTTGAGTCTGATATGGGTTTTGATAAAGTCTGGGTTTCAGAGCATTGTGGGTTTTAATTTTCAGATTAAGAGTATTCGACCTCTTGTATTTGCCTAAGTACAACCTGTATTTTTTTTTTAATTCAGTTTAGGTAGTTACACATAATGACCATAGGAAATCTGTAACTCTACATGATGTATCTTAGTTCCTCTTTTTTCCTTTCCTCTCCCCTCCCCTCCCTTCTGCCCCTGTTCCCCTAACAACCCGTATTTGTACTCACTAGAATGTCATGGAGTAGGCTACAAAGAATTGTTTAGATACAATAATCCTTCACCTTGAGATGCTTGCGGTTTTTGAGGGGGCAGGGCGGAGTCTCACTACGTAGCCCAGGCTGGCCTCAAACTCTTGGTGGTCCTCCTGCCTCAGCCTTTCAAGTGCTGGGATTACAGACGTGCACCACCATACCTGTTCAGACTTGCTCAGGATTTTAAAATTCGAGGAGAGACACTAAGCTTTCCCTCGGTTTTCTACGAGGGCCCTGGAGCATTTTGTCATTTCAGTGGAACTCGGGCGTATCCACATCTTGGATTTCGAGGGAAGGTAGCTGGGTGCTAGTGGTGATCTAGTGATGACTGCCACAGCTTATAGGAGCAGAGCTTCTTTGGCTCCCAGGTTCAGTCCATGTCTGGGCCTCCAAGGCAGGAACCAGATGGCACAGAGGAGTGGGGGAGGGGAAGGTGGCTAACTTTGGCAGCCAGGAACAGAGAGAAGGGAAGAGCTGGGCCGAGAACGCAAGCTTCCAGGTCGTGCCTGCTGTGACCAGGCCCCCCTCCAAACAGGAGGGTGAAAAGGGGTGAGTCCTCTGCGGGAGAGCTGCGGGCTGAGTTAGGACCCGCAGTGTCTTCAGAGTGGGGAGCCCCTACAGGTCACGTAGCCGTACCTCAGATTCTCCCATGTAACTCGCAAGTGCCTCGGGGAGTCGGGGGCGGCGGGGAGCTGGTCAGGGAGAGAGATACTGGGTCAGGGAGGGAGGCTGGCTCCGTCCCTCATGGCCGGTGTGTGCGTGGGGCCGACGTCAGCTGGCGGTGCTGTGTGAGGACAGCGGGGGTGCCTGGTTTCCTCTTCCAGCTGAAGAAAGGCAGTGAGCACCAGGCGACTGTGCAGCACTTGGAAGAGGCCTTCGCAGTGGCCTCCTTGGTGGAGACCGGCCATCTGGTGGCCTTCTCCCTGGCCTCTCACCTCAACGACACCTTCCGCTTTGACTCGGAGAAGCTGCAGGTAGGGCAGGAGGTCAGCCTGGTCCTCAAGACCACGGAGCCGGGAGTGACTGGTCTGCTTCTGGCCGTCGAGGGGCCTGCTGCTAAGAGGGTCCTGAGACAGGCCCGGAAGGACTCGGAGACGGTCGACGAGGGTGAGGACGATGACCCGGCTCTGGCCGCAGGGCCGAGAAAGAAGCACACCCTGGCCATCGGGGACTTGGTCACCGGGACCGTGAAGTCTGTGAAGCCCACGCACGCGGTTGTGACCTTGGAGGGAGGCGTGGTCGGTTGCATCCACGCCTCCCGCATACTTGATGAGGTCCCAGAGGGCACCGCGCCTACTGCCGCGCTGAAGGTCGGGAAGACAGTGACGGCTCGAGTGATTGGCGGGAGAGACGTGAAGACGTTTAAGTACGGCGGCTTTGGGCCGGGCTGGCTGGGGGGTTGTCAGCCTTTGGGGGAGGTTCTTGGAAGCCAGGTCCTCTTTGAGCTAACAGAAGGCACTCGCCAGAGTCTTTCAGTGTGATTTTTTTAAAAACCACTGCGTAGAGGCCAGGGGTTTGGCTTAGTGGCGCACAGTGCCTGCCTAGCAAGCACGAGGTCCTGAGTTTGATTTCTGGTACCCACAAAAAAGAAAAAACCAAAAAAGAAAGCCTCTGTGTAGTGGTTAAAAACATCGGTTGAGGTCCAGATTGATTATGTCCATGTGCTTGTACTTTTTAATTCTCTGAGGTTTAGTTTCGTTTTTTTTGAGACAGGCTGTCACTGTGTAGCCCAGGCTGCCCTTGAGCTCATAGTGATCCTCCTGCCTCAGCCTCCCTAGTGCTGGGTTTATAGGCATGCGCAACCATGCCCAGCTCTGAGTTTCATTTTCTGAATTTGTAATTGAGAGTAATGGCCGTTGACTGCCTTGCAGCTCACGGGAAGCCTGAAAGGGCTCCGGTGCCAGCAGACTGCCCAGCTCACAGCTGCTGCTTGGTGTAGTCACGCTCACTCACTTTACCTTTGTCATGCATTGTAGTGGAAATCCCTGTTGTAACAAAACAACCGAACACAGAAAGTTCACAGTCTGACCGAGACTTTGCATATTAATTTCAGGCACTAGTTGTGGAATCTTCTGTAAGTCATTTATTTCTTGTTAGGCTTCTTTCCTTGTTTTTATAATGAAGGAGTCTATGGGGGTATATAGGGGGAATTCTTTTTTGATTTGTTTTTTTTTTTGAGAAAGGGTCTTGCTATACAGTTCAGGCTGGTCTCGAACTCAGTGATCCTCCTGCCTCAGCCTCCCAGTGCTGAGATTACAGGCTGTGCTGCCACACCTGGTTCTTTTCAGGCTTTTTCTGATCAGGTGACCCTAAGAGATTAGGCCAGCTTCTTGTCACTTCCCGAGAAGGGCAAGAATAGGCTCTCATCTCCCAAGGGTGGTACAGTGATGCAGGAGGGGCTGTTTGTAACCTTGGTTTGGGGTGGAGTGGAGAAAAATCCTGATCTTCAGGTCACTCTGTTACTGAGAATAAGAAAAATGATTTGACTGACTTGTTTCTCCAGGTTCCTACCAATAAGTCACCCCAGATTTGTTCAAACCATCCTGGAGCTGAGCGTTCGACCAAGGTGAGGGGGACCCCAGTAGCATGATCTCAGGGGAAGAGCAGCAGGCTTAGGAATCAGGAATTCTGGTTTCTCATCTTGATTCTGCTGGTTTTAGGTGTGTTTTTGCCTCTCTCTGTCCAGGTACCTTATTTCCCTGCTAGGAAGAAAAACTGATCCCTGCCAGACTGAGGCCCCTGCTTCATGGAGTTACTGAGTCCCACCCCACCCTTCAGAGTGTCACCTCTGTGCGAGTGAGCTGCCAGCCAGCTCTGGTCCCCAGCAGTAGTCCACAGAAAGAGTGGGTGCTTGGGGCTGCATTTTTTTTTTTTTTTTTTTTTTTGAGACAGGGTCTCCCTATGCAGTTCAGGCTGGCCCTGAACTCACTTTGTATCCCAGGCTGGCCTCAAACTCACAGTGGTCCTCCTGCCTCAGCCTCCTGAGTGTTGGGATTACAGGTGTGCACCCCCACACCTGGCTGGGGCTGCATTCGTTTGATTCATTTGTGTTTTCCGGTACTAGGATTGAACCCCTGGTCTCACTAAGCGACTGCTTAGCTCCACCTATAATCCTAGCTATAGCATTAGCAGCTCAAGGAGAAATGATTCCTGAAAGCAGTTTTGCAACCTGAAACAAGTGCTGTAAAGTATTGCAAAACGATTTTATTTCTTAACCATTATAAAGGAGATTGTAAGCTACCTCTTCACAGCTGGCTCATGCCTGGTGAATGACATGGAAAAGATCAGCCCCCTGGTTAATATTGTGAAAATCCCCTTTGAGAAGTCAAAAGTGAGAAGGGCAAAGAGGTGGGGTCCTGTACAGTCAACCCGTGGCCGCCTGGGGAGGTGTTTCAAACTGGAAGCCCTGCTCAGAGGTTGCTGTTCGCTTTCCGTGTGTCTGTGAGCAGCGAGGTGGAGCAGGCGGGCCACAGCGCTCTGGACACGTACTCAGCCAGCCTCGTGGGGAAGATCCAGCAGTACCAGGCGGGTCAGACTGTGACTTGCTTCCTAAAGAAGGTAACTGGCACCTCGCGACGCGAGCCCGTCCTTTTGGAGAGAAGGGGGTGAAGCTGTGATCAAGGCCATCAGCTCTGGGCAGTTGATGGTGTGTGCTGCCACGCTGAGCTTGTTGGAGAGGACACGTGGCCTCTGGTCCTAGAAAACACCTGGTCTAATAGGAGAACTAAATTAGGGCCGTGGAAATGGCAGGCAGCTTGCAAGTGAACATGTTAGATTAATTGTACCTACAGAAAGGAAAATCATAGACGGAGTTCTAAAGTAGGTGTGGGGCTGATCTTAGATTCTGCCATTCATAAACTCTGACTGCCGTGCAGAGCGTGTGTGATGAGGTGCTGCTTATGTGTTCAGAGCCTGGGTGGAATAGGCGTTCCCAGAGGAAGAGAGCTGTGTGACTTCCAGGGTTGGAGCATGTCACGGGGGAGGCTGGGCTGCCTCGGCCTTGAGCCATCGTGCTTGTTCCTTGTCACCAGGTTGCCCTCGCACACGCATCTCTCTGAACATGCCTGGTGCTTGATGCCTTTAGTCACCTGTTACCCATAGGCCTGGTCGCCTTAGCGTAGCCTACCCAGCCTCTCCCACCCTGGTGGTCACTGAAAACCTCCTCTCCATTCACGCTGGACTCTCTCTGTCCCTGCCCTGTTGCCTGACCTCAAGGCTCAGCGTGGTCACTTGGCCTGATTGTGAGCTGTCCTGTGTCCTTCTGCAGCATGCTTTACTTTCTCTGCTGCTTGCGGCTCTGATGATTTGCATATTCATTTGACATAACGCTTAGACTGTGATCCCCGGAAGGGGCCTGGCTTTTGTTCATCACCCTAATAGCATGTTCATAATGGCTTCGAGAAGTGTTTTATTGTACTGACTTGAAAGTCAGGGTCTGGGTTCAGGGCAGAACGTGAGGTCCCTGGAGAGGAGACCCTGGGTTTACTGCCGTAAGCAGTGAAGTGTCAAAGTCTAAATTGAGTACATACCTGTAAGCAAAGCTACTCAGGAGGGTGAGGCAGGATAATTCTAAGCTTAGGGCCAGCCTGGTCAACCTAGCAAGACCTCATCTCAAATTAACATTGTCAAAGAAGAGCTGAGGCTGTAGCTTAGTGGTAGAGTACTTGTAGCGTGTCTGAAGCCCTGGGTTCCATCCCCAGCACTACCAAAAAAAAAGATTTGGAAATAAAAAGTTGACCCTGGAGGTGGTGGGCGCACCAGAGCTTGATGGGATTGGCCCGACGAGGACACCTTTGAGCTCTTGGCTTGCCTCTGTGGACGTGCAGGGGGGAAGTCCGTCTGCCAGGCTAGCCATTACACTGCAGTGACTCTGGGGGGCGCCTCGCACCTGTGAGAGGTAGAGGTCGGCCATGGCGTTAGGGTGTAGGGTGCTTCCTGTCCCTTGTGTGCAGTTAGCGCCTTTTCAGTCTTGTGGTTTTAGGAGAATCAGTTTTAATAGAGGAAAGAAAGCATGCTTGTATCTTCCCATTCCCGTTGCTTTTGATTTTCCCTCTAGTACAATGTGGTCAAGAAATGGCTTGAAGTGGACATTGCACCAGACATCCGGGGGAGGATTCCCTTACTGCTCACGTCTCTCAGCTTCAAGGTCAGTGTGCGTGAGGTCCCTGGAGAGGAGACCCTGGCTGAGACCGACTCTGTGTGTGCTCCCAGTGGGCACAAGGAACTCTGTGCTCGCTTAGCGATGGGTTGGGGGTATACTCGCTTTGGAGACTTACCTGTCGTGGTTTTAGGTGGACGGTAGATCTTTCTTGAAGTATCACAGGATTTTTTTTTTTTTTTTTGGATCCTTCTAGGTTCTGAAACGTCCAGATAAGAAGTTCCAGATTGGCCAGGCATTGAGGGCCACTGTGGTTGGCCCAGATACCTCCAAGGAGTTCTTGTGTCTCTCACTCATAGGTATAGGGGTAGGGAGAGGGGGTGCGGGGATCTTCAGTTGCTGCCAGGCTGAAAGATGCCTGCAGTGTTGGGATCCAGAGGGTGCAGGGTGTGTCATGTCCTGGAAACAGTTTGTTTTGGGGACTTCAGTCTTTGGCCTTTCTTACATTGTCACTGTCTGAGTCATCTTTACTGCCAGTTGATTTTTCTCAAGTCCCTTGGAAAGAATTGCGTGCCACAGAGCCCTAGGAGTCTAAGCTGCCTGGCGTGGTCATTTGGGTCTCATAATCACTGATCTAACCCCAGTAGTGCCATCTCCACCTCCGTCGGTCTGGTCCGGCATTCTGGCTGCTTTCTTTTTATTTACTGGAGCAAGCCCAGGGTTGCTCCTCTACCACCGAATCATATCCCCACTCATTGTGTGTGCCTGGGTCTTTCACTGGGGGTTGAACCTAGGGCCTTTGCACTTCGCTAAATTCCCAGCCTTTTTTTAGTATTAATTTTGAGACAGGGTCTTGTCAAGTCATGAAGTTGCCCAAGCTGGGCTGGCCTTGAACTTGAAATCGCCCTATCTCAGCCTCCCAGAGCGCCGGGATTATAGGTGTGCACCGCTGCTTGGCTTGCTGGAGGGGCAGTATCTCTGAGTTGCCCAGGAGGGCTTCAACTTGAGATCCTCCTATTTCAGCCTCCTTTGGTGCTGGGATTCCAGGTGTGCAGCTGCTAGCTGTTTTCTTGTCCTTTCCTCTTCCCTGAATCAGGTTCATTCTTCTCGCAGGTCCTCACAAGCTTGAGAGGGGAGAAGTGGCCATGGGTCGGGTGGTGAAAGTGACGCCCCGTGAGGGCCTGACTGTTGCCTTCCCCTTTGGGAAGACGGGGACTGTCAGTATATTTCATGTGAGTGACTCCTACTCTGAGACACCGCTGGAGGAGTTTGTCCCCCAGAAAGTTGTCAGGTAAGCCACATTTCCTCCCCTTTTCATCTTCCTCTTTTGCTTACCTGTGGAATTGGTGATTTTTTAAAAATTGTAGACATGATACATGTTTTATGTTTGTTCCTTTTGGGGCATTCAGGATAGAACGCAGGGCCTTGCACGTGGTAGGCAGGTGCTGTGCTGCTGAGCTACATCACCAGCCCTTTTGATTTACCGTTTTCACTTTGAGACAAGTTGCTAAGTTGCCCAGGTTGGGCTTGAATTTGTGATTTCCTGCCTCAGCCTCCCAGAGCGCAGGGGTTACAAGCATGCACCACCTTGCCTGGCTTGTACATGATTTTATACTGCAGAAAACAAGTATATAAAGTAAAAAACGCAAATTTCTATCACTTGTCTCTTTCTCCACCACATTTTGCCAATATATGCTTTGATCTCTAATCTTTCCAGACTCTCACATATAAGTAGATACAGTTTTCCTTATATAGTAAATCGACTCTGTTCTTTTTTTGTTTGTTTGTTTGTTTTTGTTTTTTTTGTTTTTTTTCTCTGGTACCGGGAACCGAACTCACGACCTTGCGCTTGCCAGGCAGGCGCTTTGCCACTGAGCTAAATCCCCAGCCCCCTCGACTCTGTTCTTTATGTTAACATTGCTTAGTATTTTTTAGGGTGCTGAGGATTGAGCTCATAGATATTCTCCCACTGAGCTGAGTCTCCAGTCCTTTTAAAAATTTTTGTATTTTGAGACAAAGGTTCCTGTGAGTAGCATTAAATTGCAGTTCCTTCATCTGTGAAATGTGGGTCATAAATTATGTGCTAAAGGTAAACAGCCCCTCAAGGCCTTTCCTGCAGTTCGAGCTCTGAGGCCCGCCGTAGAAGGCAGCAGTGTCATAGGAAACATTGGCACTGTCCTTCCAGGTTGCCTGTCCTGGCCTTGAACTTCAGACCCTCCTGCCCGAGCCTCCTGAGTAATGGGATTCCCGGCCTGTGCCTCCATGCCCAGCTTCACTGCTTGTTATCAGTTTCCCTGGAGACAGTCCAGCTGCAGTGAACATCTTTGCGCGTTTGGGACCCTATTGCTGGGCTCTTAGGAATAAACTCGTAGAGGCGAGGTTGCTGGGTCCAGTGACGCTCTGTGTCTCACTGAGTACTCGCTGTAGGGCCTGTGTACACTACGTGGCCGCTGCTCACATCCCCTGCAACACTGCGTGTTCTTAACTTTCATCTTAGCTGATGCTCAGGCAAAACTCTCATTTTAATTTTTTTTCCTCTTCTGTTCGTTATGATTCTTGGTTGTGTATGTTTGGTTTGTGCTTTGCTTGTCCAAATCATTTGCGTTTGAAACAATAATGTTTTGGATTTTTTAAAATTCCTGAGTGGGTGTGTTCTGTAAAAGTAGCCTTTGGGAGCTGGCAGAAAAAGGGGGGCTTTATTACTGACCTACTTCCGATGCCCAAAGATGAACCTGCCGCAGATAGAGGTCTTTGGCCACTTCTGGCCTGAACGAAGGGAGGCAGATTGCAGCATGAGCTGCAGTGTAGAGCAGAGGCCCTGAGGCACATAGAGGGGGAAACAGTCCCTGTCCTCTGCCATCTCCAGTGTCCCAGTCCCCAGTGCCTGCCTGGCCTGCCAAGCATGGATCAGAAGAAGCCGGCACAAAAACACCATGGGCATGGGAGAACTGCGAGATTGAGTCCAGAGACATCCAGAACTATATCTGGTTTGTTTCTCGAGGCTCAAAATGAGGCCAAGGTTGTGAGCAACAAATTTATTTTTAAAGACTTTTTATGACAGCCAGACCTGTGAGCAGCATTAAATTCGAGTTTCCTTCATCTGTCAGATGTGGGTTGTAAATTACTGGCTAAAGGTAGACAGGCCCTCGAGGCCTTTCCAGCTCCGTGGGTCTGGCGCCTGTTGGAAAAGGAAGACGTCGTGGGAAAGACTCGCTCTGTGCTGCTGCTGAGATGCTTTCTACCTCTGAGATTCTGCCTTTGTTTGTGCGTTTGTTTTGGGAAAGGGGCTAGCTATGTAGTTCAGGCTGGTCTTGATCTCACTGTGACCTTAAAAACACAGTAATTCTCCCGTCTCGGTGCTGGGATGACTGGTGTGTGCCACTGTGTCCAGCTAAGAGTCTGTACTCTCCAGAGATGCTGACCACTGAGGATCTTCTCTCTTTTCTTCTCACTGCAGATGTTATGTCCTGTCCACCGCAGACCACGTACTGACTTTGTCCCTGCGGTCGTCCAGGTAGGTCTGAGTGTTGTGGGGACCAGCACAGAGGAGGACTCACTCAGAGGGCCTTGGGGGAACCTTTGTATCCAGTGCAGGGCTCTGGACTTCCCACGCTCCTTTGCTGCCCATGGGAACCTCTTACCCACAATAGCTGGGATGTTCGTATTGCTGGAAGAGCCCTACCTGCCAGGCTCGTGCTTCCCCGGGTGAGAGAGGTTCAGACGTCCAGCTGTGGGCCCATGGCTGCAGCATGGTAGTGCTGGTGAGGAGAGATGGCTGAGTGCCCAGGTTCCATGGTAGGGGTGGGAGTGGCTTGGAAGGGATTGGCCTGTGGTCGCCCTGCCCTGTGGGAGAAGGGGAGGTGTTCTAGACCAGGCTTTCAGTTTGACGCCTCTTGATGCCTCTGGCTTGGTCAACATCTCCCTGTTTCTTCACAGTAGCTCTTGGATGACAGGCCCTGGCCTCACAGGACTCAGGAGAGATCAGTCAGGCTTAGAAGGTTGTGTCCTGCTGCAGACAGGTCCAGAGGTGCATTCTCACCTGCAAAGAGCAGTTACTGCCGGGGAGCTGGGGGAGCGCAGGAGTGAGAGGTTAAATGTGTGTGTGTAAGCCTTTCACTCCTTTAGGACGAACCCCGAGACAAAAAGCAAAGTAGAAGATCCTGAGATTAACTCCACGCAAGACATTAAGGAGGGGCAGCTTCTGCGGGGCTATGTGCGTTCCATCAAGCCAAATGGCGTGCTCCTGGGGTAAGCGAGCTGGGCCGTGGCGCTGCGCCAGACCAAAGCACCTCTTCGGGGCCACCTGTCTTAGCCTGATGTCCGCTGCCTCCTTCACACAGCTTAGATGTGAATGTAAAGGAAACAGAACTTAGATATTCTCAGTGGCTTTTTTCTTTTTCTTTCCCTTTTTTTTTGGTCTTTTTGAGACAGGGTCTCACTATGCAGTTCAGGCTGGCCTTGAGCTCACTTTGTAGCCCAGGCTGATCTCGAACTCGCAACAATCCTCCAGCCTCAGCCTCCTGAGTGCTTTGATTACAAGTGTGTACCACCATGCCTGGCTCTCACTGGTTGTTAAAATTACAAGTTTTTAAATACTTCTTGAAAAGTTTTTAGTTATTTCCTGGTGTTACTGAGTTATTTTGCGTTATTTCTTATTTCTTGGTGTTTTGAACAAAGAAGATGACACATGCAGGTTTCAGTTGCAGTTCGCCCTCAGCTTGGTTCTGGATTTTCTGTGATTAGTGTTTGATCATGAGTTGTAAATATTCTGTGAAGTCACGTGTTCCCAGCCCCGGTTGCTGCAGCCTTTCCTGTGTTGCACTCTTGTGTCCTTGTGCCGGTCCGGGAGTCTGTGATTGAGATACTGTGATGCTCTGATGTGGGGTGACGCATTCTCAGCGTGGGGGCATAGCGTAGCTCAGTGGGGAAGCACTTGCCTACCTGGTGCAGGGTTCCACCCCCAGCACCACAGGAGGAAAAATCCCCAGTCATATCTTCATTACGTGGGGTAATTCCAGTTTACAAGGCCCACTTCCTCCTGCTGAACACCAAGAGCTTGGGGCTGTCGCGGACACTGTCGCAGCCTGAGCCCCTGCGAAAGTGGAGTTCCGGGGTGCATCTGGGATCTGCTGTCCTGACCACCGCGGGGCTCGTCCCTGTCTCCTTCCAGCCTTGGCCCCTCAGTGGTGGGTTTGGCCCAGTTCTCACATGTCTCCCAGCGCAGCCTGGCCAAGAAGGACCTTTACAGCAAGTACCTGCCTGAAGGGAGGCTGCTCACTGCCAAGGTCCTGAGGTAGGTGCTTCTGTCTCTGCCTTCTGTCGGTCCCTCTCTCTGTGGTATGATTGCAGCCCCTTTTCTGGGAGCCCTGGGAGATTTTAAGATAAACTTGAAGCAGAATGGCGTAGGCGGCAGGGTGCACAGTGTCCCAGTGAAGGAGAGGCCTTTGGAACCTTCTGTCCCAGCTTGAGCCCAGAACAGATGCTTCCTCTGTTGTTGGGGGTGGAGCAGGACATCACAGCTATTCCTGAGTTGTGGCCAAGCACGCTCAGATGTGCAGGTCGGGCCTGAGAACAGCGGGCGGGTGCAGGGCCCAGAAGCAGGGCTGCTGAGCGGAGGCCTCGGGTGCCTGTGGAGCCCCTCTTCACTTTCCCCCTTCCCTCTGCCTGCTGTAGGCTGAACCACAGCAAGAACCTGGTAGAGCTGTCCTTGCTCCCCGCTGACACCGGGAAGCCGGATGTGCTGTGCGTCTCCCCAGAGCTGCTGCTTCAGGAGACGGACACGAAGGGAGAAGAGGAGAGCCCGGAGAGGAAGGGAAAGAACCTGCACGGGCGGGCGGGGGAGCTGCCCAGCAAGGAGCAGGTGAAGGTGAAGAAGCCCGGCAAGCGGGAGCGCCCGGACTCCGGGGGCGCGCAGGTGAGTCCGAGGGGAGGAGCTGGGCATCACCGTGGGAACAGAGCAGTGTCTGAGAGGCCGCTGGCCGCCTGGCTGAGGCTCACGTGGGCGTGGGTGGGGCTGGGGTGGGGCAGCTGGCGGGGTGGGGGTTGGCGCCGAGCTGGGCGCCAGGGATGCTCCTGCACGTTCTCCCGCCTGCGGCTGTAGGAAAGAGTGAGCAAGAGGCAGAAGGCGGGCCCGTGGGAGGAGGACGGTGTGGACGTGTACTACCGCGAAGGAGAAGAGCAGATAGCGGAGATGCGGCTGCTGCCCAAGGTGAGGGCCGGCACCAGGTGCAGGGAGTGGCTGGGGGCGGGAGGTCTGTGGTGTCCTCCCGACCGGCTCTCAGGCCCTCTCCTCCTTCCCCGTATTTCTTACAAACTAAAATGCAGGGGCTGTCAGCTCCTTGAGGAGAGGACTCACTAACTCACGGAGGAGCCTGCATAAAATGCGACCCTAGTCTGTGCTCAGCGGGTGGCACTGAAGGAAAGTAAACAGGTGGCAAGCAGGCGCAGCTTAGCCCGGTGACCTGCATTCTCAAGAGAAGCAGAGGCAGGCTCATTAGGCTGAGAGGCTGCAGGCTATGGGCACGCACACCCCGCGCCCTCAGAGTGCCAGTCATCTCTGTCCCAGCTCTGCAGTAACTCCCCAACTCTCCCGTGTATTTGTGTCAAAGGGTGTAAGACTCACTTTGTTGGGCTTTATGAATGAGTCCAACTTACGTTCTCCCAGAACAGAACTCTTTCCTAAGTCAGGGACTCACTGGACTGTTATCCCGTAGGTGTGTTTCTGTGCATACTTAGCTTCGTAGATCTGTTGCCTAGGTAATTATTTATAAAGATAGTGTTATGTCGCTGCTGTAAAATTTCCCCAGGGGGCGGGGCCCAGCCTGGCCTGGAGGAGAGGGGTTCTCTCGTGTGCCCTGCTGTGGGCCCTGGGCCAGGTGCTCTCCTCACACCCTGTGGTCCTGCAGGGGACACTGACCAAGCCTGCAGAAGCGCCCCGGCTGCGACTCTCTTCAGGCTTCCTTTGGGACGTGGGGCTCGACTCTCTGACCCCGGCTCTGCCTCCTCGAGGAGAGAGCTCTGACAGCGAGGAAGATGAGAAGCCACACCAGGCCACGGTACTGTGTCTTGTAGGGCCCTGTCCTGTCGTGCGGGGTGGCACCCAGGCCAGCCAGGAGTGTTGTAGAGCCCTGGACTGCCCAGCCAGCTCACTGTGGCTTCCGTCACGGATCTCCCCTGGTTGATGTCACTCACTTTCTCACCTTCCGTAGCAGAAAAAGAAGAGCAAGAAGGAAAGAGAACTGGAGAAGCAGAAAGCAGAGAAAGAGCTGTCCCGCATCGAGGAGGCTCTTATGGACCCCGGGCGGCAGCCGGAGTCCGCGGATGACTTTGACCGACTGGTGCTGAGCTCCCCCAACAGCTCCATCCTGTGGCTGCAGTACATGGCCTTCCACCTGCAGGCCACGGAGATTGAGAAGGCTCGGGCTGTGGCCGAGAGGGCCCTGAAGACCATCTCCTTCAGGTCCAGCTTCGTTTCCCCTTCTCTGGGGCGAGTCTTTGCCAGGGAACAGCCTGTGGCCCCGAGCTCTGGCTTGCAGAATCAGGCAATAGCGGTGAGCGTGGCTGTGTCGGGGACCGTGGTCACCAGGCTTTCTCTCAGAGGTGCAGCCATCTGTGAAGCAGAGCTACTTTTTATACTTTATTGGCCTCTGTATTGGGTAGCTGTGGGTGACATTTGTGAGAGTCTCCTCCCTGAGCTAAGATACCCAGTTTGGGACAGGAGCGGAGTGGGGAGGGCAGCTGCACATACAAGCCCGGCCTGCGGCCATTTTCCCTGTCCGGTAGAGTTGGTCTCCGCCTAGTGAGGACGGAGAGCACTCCTGTTTCATTCCCTTAGTCTGGGGAGAGAATCCGACCTGAGAGTCTGTTCTGCCCAGAACTCAGAGCCCAGGCCTGTTTGTGATCAGAGGGCTTCCTTGCTGGGGTGGAGAGACTAGGGGGGCCTGGGTTCCCCGTGCCCTGGAGCTGTGGCGGGGGCAGGACCTCAGCGCCTGCCCTTGGGGTGGGGTGTGGGGACGTGTGGAGCCTGGCGGGAGGCAGTGTTCGACCCAGTCCTGCCTGCTGGGCTGAGATGATGGCTTCGTGCACTCCTCAGGGAGGAGCAGGAGAAGCTGAACGTGTGGGTGGCGCTGCTGAACCTGGAGAACATGTACGGCTCCCCAGAGTCCCTGAGCAAGGCCTTCGAGCGCGCTGTGCAGTACAACGAGCCTCTCAAGGTCTTTCTCCACCTGGCTGACATCTATGCCAAGTCTGAGAAATTCCAGGTATGGGGCCCGGCCTCGCGGCAGCAGCCACACCCACACCTCTTGAGAAGGACCCCTGGGAGCCACAGGGCAGCCATCTCGGCAGCGAGCCCTGGCTTTGGGTCCTGTCCTGCCCCCGGCCCCCTTCCAGATTTCTGGATCCCTGCCTTCACTTTGGGGAAGGAGGTGAGAAGCGATGCCTTGGAAGTAGAGTGGCCCCTGTTCTGAACGCCCTGGGCCACTGACAGTGCATGATAGACAGGAGGGGTATCCCCACCTAGGAGGTCCTTTTCTTCTCACCTGGTTCCCATCATTCTTTTGGGTTTGTTTGTTTGTTTGGGGGCAGGGTCTGGCTGTTTAGTTCAGGCTGGCCTTGGACTCTATGTACCCCAGGCTGGCCTTGAACTCGAAGCAGTCCTCCTGCATCAGCCTTCCAAGTGCTGGGATTACAGGCAGGTGCCACCACACGGCCTCCTGGTCTTTCTCACATATTTCTTATGCAAGGCCTGCTTGTTGTTTTGTTTGTTTTAACTGGGGATTGAGCCCAGACCTTTGCATGAACTACATCTACAGCCCCAGCCCTTTTTTATTTTGAGACATCTCTGAGTTGCTAATTTGCCTGGGCTATGACATGCCTGCCTCAGCCTCCCAGGGTGCTGGGATCACAAGGATATGCCGCCATGCCTAGCTGGTCCAAGGCCTTCTTACAGAAGCAAGATTAGTTGGGAAACTCCCATCCTTTTCCCTGCTACGTGTTTCCTCTTCACACGAGCTCGTCCTGTCCTTCTCTCCCCTGGTGTGTAGAATTGGGCCTGGATGGGGACGTGGCATCATTGAGCCTGTCTGGGTCTCGTGAACAGCGTGGCCTGCCTTCATCGCTGTCTGTCAAGTAGCACACCCTTCTGAGCTGAGGCTCTTTCCATAGGAAGCTGGTGAGCTGTACAACCGTATGCTGAAGCGCTTCCGGCAGGAGAAAGCTGTCTGGATCAGATACGGCGCCTTCCTTCTGCGGAGGAGCCAGGCGGGGGCCAGTCGCCGCGTGCTGCAGCGAGCCCTCGAGTGCCTGCCTGCCAAGGAGCGTGAGTGCTGGGCGGGGCCTGAGTGCGCAGGAGCGTGAGTGCTGGGCGGGGCCTGAGTGCGCAGGAGCCTGAGTGCTGGGCGGGGCCTGAGTGCGCAGGAGCCTGAGTGCTGGGCGGGGCCTGAGTGCGC